TACCAGGACCAGGGAGAAGAGCCTGTTCCTCCTCCATTCAGGTTACGGCTAGTATCCTTTCATCTGAACTTGAAGGACTCCCTTTAGCATTTATTGTAATGCAGGTCTAGTGGTAACAAACTGTCTCCATTTTTTGTTTATCTGGGAATGTCTTAATTTCCACCTTCATTTTTGAGGGACAGTTAAACGTGGATATAGAATTCCTTGTTGACAGTTCTTTTGTTAGGCACTTTGAATACATAAGCCCACTTCTTTTTGGCCTTCAAGTTTTCTGGTGAGAGACTGACTAATAATCTTTTTGAAGATGCCTTGTATGGGATGTGTCACTTCTCTTGTTGCTTTCAAGGTTCCCTTTCTGTCTTTTGGCAATTTAATTATAATGTATCTTAGTGTGGGTCCTTGTATCCTTCTTAGAATTTCTCTAGCTTCTTGAATTTGTAGTTATGTCTTTACATTTGGAAACTTGCAAGCATTATTTCTTCAAATAACCTTTTACCGCTTTCTCTTCTCCTGAGACTTTCATAGTGCGTGTATTGATCCACTTGATGCTGTTCCACAGATTATTTCTCCTCACTTTTGTACATTTTTTTTTCTTTTTACTGCTCAGACTGAATGATTTCAATTGTCCTGTATTAACGTTTGTGAATTCTTCCTTTGGCCTGCTAAAATCTGCTATGAACTGGTGGATTTTTCATTTCAGTTCTTACACTTTTCAGTTCTAAAATTTATATTTGTTTCCTTAATTTCCATATCCTTATAGATACTCTCATTTTGTTTGTACATTGTCTTCCTGTCTTTATGCCTTCATTTGGTTCCTGAGCACTTTTAAGACAATTGTTTTAAAGTCTTTGTCTAGCAGGGCCAGCATCTGGGTTTTCTCAGGGAAAGACTCTGCCAATATATTTTGTTCCTTTGAATGAGTCGTACTTTACTGTTTCTTTGTATGCCTTGTGATGTTTTCATTAAAACCTAGACATTCAAATCATATAATGTGGTAACCCTAGAAACAGATTCTACCCCTTCCCCAGGGTGTTTTGTTTTGTTTTATGATTTAGTGGTATCTCTGGATCAGGAATCAACCTGAAGTGAAGCTTAAAGTCTTATCAGGTCTTTTTTTTTTTTTTTGAAGGACTTCACCTGATGGAGGTTACAGCAATGTCAGCCATCTTCTGCATCCGCACCTTGACAATTTAAAGTAGCAATTAACCATCGGAGCACAGTTATTTGGAAGATAAGGTTCTTATTGCTCACCCTGACTCCAGAAAGTTGCACTAGGAGCACAGACGTAGCTGCCTGCCTTTGGGGTGAAGGATGGGCAGTAGCTGCTCCCACACTAAAGGCTGAAATTGAGCAAAACTAATTGAAATTGACCAGCCAGGCTTTCCCCTGGAAGATGCAAGCTTTTAAGTAGACTGCAGTTTCAAAATAGTTTCTTCAGATAGTTTTTGCCAGTTATTGTCAGATTATTGTCTAGATGGAGAGATGGATTTCTGGTGCTTCCTCCTCAGCTCTCTTCCCTGACATCATTCCCTCATTTTAAGATAAGCTCTGGCAATATAGTTCATTTCAGTCTAACTGCTGTTTATTGAAGACCATCCTGTGCAGTGTCCTCTGCTGAGAACACAGAAAAAGGATTTTCCTCCTTTTTCCTTTTAGGAGCCAGAAATTTAAGCACAAAGACATTTAAAAGCAACATCATTTAGGAGAACTTAGAAAGCCACCAGAAATGGCTAGGAAACATTGTGCCACGCTGCACAGTGTTCGTCCCAGAGGAACAGGAGGAAGACGGTGCTCCATTTCATAAGCTGGATGGTAAGCAGCATAGCAGAGACCTGAACAAGATTTGGAGATGCTCTAGGGAGGAAAGAAAAACAGTCTTCAGGGTGAAGGTGGCCTCAAGGACAGACAGAGGGTTAGGAGGTGGGAAGTGGGGACCGTGGGGCTGTGAGCTAGATAAGGGGCCACATAGAGACTGCCTGTTGGAGAAGTTGCCATGGAGAAGCAGCAGCATAAGCAGATCTGGAGGGAGGTGTGCCGAGGCACATGTGATACCCCGGGGGTCCGCCTCCACCCGCTTTCTTCTGGATCCAGTTCTCTTACGTCATATCGCATCTTACCTCCTCTCCACCTCCTCACTGTCGGGGTAAAGGTAGTTGTTGTTTGTGGGTTAGGCAGATGTAAAACTGGAGAAGTCAGCTTTTGGAAAGGGATGAAACCGTAGGTAAAAGGAAGCTCGATAACAACTCCGGAAGTTAATGACATGCTGTTCACCAATCGCAGGCTACACTCAAGGGTGTAGGGAATGTAGCTGCCTTTCTTCTTCTGCAAACCGACCTCATTTGTATTTTCACACTCCTTGTCCACACTGTGTTCCTCATGACTTCAGCTTCTGCCCTGCTTTCCCTGAGTCTGCATCTAAGGTCCACAAGGAGCATCTGGTCCTTGTGTCGTCCGCTTCCTTAGTTTCCTGGGGCTGCCATAACGCAGAACCCCCAACCAGGTGGCTTCAACAACCGGAAATTACTGTCTTACAGTCCTGGAGGCTGGAAGTCCAAATCAGGGTGTTGACAGGGTTGGTTTCTCCTGAGGGATGTGAGGAAGAATCTGTTCCAGGCCTCTCCCCCAGCTTCTGGTGGCTTGCTGACAATTTTTGGCATTCTTTGGAGTATAGAAGCATTATTCCAGTCTCTGTTTTTATCTTCTCCTGGTGTTTTCCTGTGTGTGTGTGTGTGTGTGTGTGTGTGTGTGTGTGTCTGTGTGTCTGTGTGTCTGTTTATCTCCAGATGTCCCCTTTTTACAAGGACACTTCATATTGGATTAGGGGCTCAACCTACTCCAGTATGACCTCCTTTTATCTAATTCTATCTGTGCCCCGTTGGCCCTATTTCCAAATCGGGTTACACTCTGAGGCACTAGAGGTTAGGACCGTGGCATCGTTTTGTGGGGGCCCAGCTCAGCCTGAAACATTGTGCCAGTGTGCCTCTGCGGCCTCACTCCTTCCTTCTCTGGTGCCCACTCGTGGGGACTTACTTATTGCCGGAGTGATGTTTCTCCTGCTGATCCATGTGGCTCTTGGGGGTCACCCCTCTACACTTGTTCCACCCTGTGCTTCATGATTCATTCTGTCTGCAACTGGTACCTGGGCCAGGTTCCTGGGGAGGCTTTCTGAGGCTCCTTCTGCCTATCATTCTCTGAAACTGCCTCCCTTGCCTTCTATGCAGGAAGCAGATCACAAGGTCCCTTTGTTCTCAGGCCGCATAAACCTTCTAGAGGTTTAGCTGTTGCCTTGAAGAGCAGAGCTCAGGGCCCCACTGTGGGGCCACCAGTAGATTTAATCTCCCAAGGTCTCCTCTTCTCTTGGGGGAGGGAACTATTTTCTGATGTATATGAGGCAGACAGAAGTATGAAAGGGGACTTTCTCCCCAGGACATTTTCTCCAAGACATCTATGTAGATCAGGAGCTGGCAAACTTAGGTTCCACGGGCCAAATCTGGCTTAACCACCGGGTATTTAATAAAGTTTTATTGGGACACAGCCATGCCTGTTCTTTTACATGTTGTCTCTAGACTGCTTTTGTGCTAAAGTGGCAGATGAGTGGCTGGAGACTGGATGGCCCACAAAACCAAAAGTGTTCACTATCTGGTCCTTCACAGAAACAGCTTTCCAACCCCCCGTGCAGATCTGTTTGACACAAAAGCCTGAAGTCTCTGCCCTCTCCTGCTGTTACCTCTCTCCCAAAGCAGCAATCGCAGGGCGGCCTTGCTCTCTGAACGTGAAGATTGGCAAAGGAAGAAAAAGAAATAACAAAGGAGATGGCTGATGTGTTGAGATGACATTTGGCCAGCAGGTGTGCACGGTTTGGAAATTCGTTGCGCAGAACAGTTTGGATGTATGCCCCTTTCTGTCATAGGCTGAATTTCAGTAAAAAGTACAGAGGGGCGTGGGAGTGGATAAGAGAGCTTATTCCATCATGATGACCTTGGCATCATGGAAATGAATGGAACCGTTGAGGTTGCCCAGGCCTGGGTCCTCCAAGGACACCCTAGGGCCTTGCAGCCAGGCCCTCACACATGTGGAGTTGGCCAGTGAACACAGCCTGGGTCTCCAGAATGGCTTAAAACCCCAGCCTCAGCACAGAGCACCTAGGACCCAAGACCACAGCATTAGCCTGTGTGGTGTCACACCTGCCCAGGTAAAGGGAGCTCAGCCCGGATCTAACTGATCTCCCCTCGAAGCCCATGAGCAGGTGAACTCATTATTCTTATTCTTTTCATTATAACGTAAACAAGCTATGTATTTACTCTTCGCGAAACTTAACCTCCAGAGAATACCTGTGGGCCATTTAAAGGTCTTCATTTCAGGCCGAGTGCAGTGGCTTATGCCTGTAATCCCACTACCTTGGGAGGCCAAGGTGGGCAGATCACAAGGTCAAGAGATCAAGACCATCCTGGCCAACACGGGAAAAACTTGTCTTTACTAAAAAAAGTACACAAAAATTAGCTTGGCATGGTGGCACGTGCCTATAGTCCAGCTACTGGGGAGGCTGAGGCAGGAGAATCACTTGAACTTGAGAGGCAGAGGTTGCCCAGCCTGGCAACAGAGCAAGACTCCATCTCTCCTCCAAAAAAGTATTCATTTCAGAGGAAACCCTTGCAAAACATACACACACACATACACACATGCTCCAGAGATGTCCCTTGGGTTTTCATTGTTACCCATGGCCAAATTTTAAGTTCAGATGAAGGACACAACATGTCCTTCTGCTTCCATGATTCCCAGTTCCCGGATGCACCTTTCAGAGGGCTCACTTCAACTTGCCGGCAATGTGGGTCTGGGGTTGTGGGCATGTGGTTTGTAACAGCGGAGAGGACTTTGCTTTGGAAATCTTGCCCTGCCTCCATCCCCCACTCCTCTTCCTCCCGGCAAGAGTGACAGAAACAGAGCTCTCCTGCTCTTCGGTAGCACCATCTGGTTAATGCAGGCCTTCTTCTTCCTTCTAGCCCTGGGCCTGGAGGTGCACACTGCCTGGGTGCCAGTGTGGAGCATGCGGTCTGCGAGAACCTGCCCTGCCCCAAGGGTCTGCCTAGCTTCCGGGACCAGCAGTGCCAGGCGCACGACCGGCTGAGCAGCAAGAAGAAGGGCCTGCTGACTGCCGTGGTGGTTGATGGTAAAGACATATGGCATGTCCTTGTGTGGCGGCCTCCTGTCCTCCCCCAGGAACATAAAAGCCACCTAGGGAAGCTGGGGGACACCCCTTTCCCAAACCAACCCGGCAAGACACCCCAGTCCTCTGCCCAAGTCAGCTGTGGCCCAGCTTTGTGAGTCGGGGCCAGGGGGGGTTCACCTTGAATGACCCAACTCTGTGAGATGTTTCAGCTGCAGCTGTGGAAGCAGGCAGCAGGCCAGATGCATCCCACAACCCCATTTGTAGCAAGGAGGCTGTGCTGGCATCCTGCCCCCGGCGCCATGTGCAGAGGGACGCAGGGCAAACTGAGGAGAGCAAGGCTTTACCGCGGCAGCACGGTGTGTTGCTGTGGCTGCTGTCTGGCTTCCCGGTGCGGACGCTCCCCTGCATGGCTTCTCCTGGTTTATTTTGGATTGTCTCTTAATCCTTGGCCAGGATGTTGGGGGACATTTTGAGAATAGGTGACAACATGGGAAAGGTGATAATAAGCACAGGTCACATTTTCTTCCCAAGAGCTTTCTCCCAAATCAAGAGACTGCTCCGTTGGGCCCCTGCAGGCATTTCTGGGTGCTGATAAAGTTCCAGGTGGTATGTCATGGATACATTTGTCATGTCTGCTTAATTAACGTCCTTAATAGAAAAGGACACCCCACGGCCCACTTCGGCGTTGTTGGTTTTTTTTTTTTTTTTTAAAACCTAAAACTGTTGTTCTGTAGGAAGTAAGACTTTGTGTTGTAATGATGATGTGAGCCCGTTTATCAGTACTTCGTGTACAAGATACAAGTTAGCGCTACATACATTGTCTCACTTAATACCCAAAACAGGCCATGCAGAAGATGAGAGGGAACGAGGTTACAGGACACGTCTAAGCGCCAGTAACTGACAAGAGGCCAGGGCAGAAGCTGACCTCAGTTCCAGGGAAGTTGACTCACAGAAAATAGGCAGCTGTCGCCTGGCTTCCAATGCTGGAAGACGGCAGCCTGCATGACTTCATGGGTGTGGAGTCAAGGGGCTTTAAGAAGAGCTTAGGAAACTGGGCTTGATTTTTAGAGAGCCTCAAAAATGTTTTGCAGAAGAATGATGTTCTGATGCCAGGTCTTGGGTTTCTTCCCTGAGATGGGAAGAGCCTTTGAAATCTGCATTCCATGGTCTGCTGTCGCAAGTTCTAGTGTGCACGGCTGTGTGAGGGTAGGCCCAGGCGTCTCTGGAAGAGCAGCCTGAGATCCGCAGCTTCTAACAGTCTGACCGGTCCTCTCTGAGCTGACTCGTAAAGCCACATGTGATGCTCTGAATTGTAGCAGGTCACAGCAACCCATGCAGATGAGGACTCGTTAAAAGTTTTAGGGAGCCCGTGATCTGCCACTGTCCTTTTTTAAAAAGAGCACTACCTTCAGGAACTGTGTACTGTAGCAACACCATCAGCTAGTCGGCAGAATTCACGAGAAACACGGCCTTGGCACCATCAACTTTCCCTGCAGATGAGGGAGAGCAGAGACCTGCCCTCCTAAAAAGAACAGTGTCTGGGGCCACGCACTTGCACACAGGCCCTCACCTCTCTCTGCCTGGCTGTGAAGCAGATGGGGGAGGTGGAAGGAGGTCTCTGCTGTGTCAGCCACACGCAGACCCCTAATTAGAAGTGAGAGAGCTGCCCTTGGTCCAGTTCTCATGAGAAGTGGCTGGTTGTCACGAGAAGCAGCTCGGATTCCGAACCTTCAGCTTTGCCGAGCATGCCAGAAAAGGATGCTTTTAGACCTCCTTCCTGTCCGCTCCCGCTTCGCAGGAGCAAGAGGAGGGGAGGTCTGGGACAGACTCTGCTCTTGAGAGTTCGGCTTGTCCTCGTGCACCAGTTGTTCTTTCCTTGTTGCCTGCTTCAGTTTTCAGTGCCCCTGCCTCATGTATTCAGTGCAGTGTCTGTGTTTCCACACATTTCTCCAAGTCCAGATTAAACTTCGGCTTTCCTTCTGACCACTTTTGGATGGCTGGACTTTGGTTGCCTTATCACTGCAGTGGCTGGGACTTCAGTCTGCCCCGGTCCTCCATCCGGGAAGCCTTGTGGTGCGGCTCTTTGTGGAGCTGCTTGGGTTGGGAACGTGACCTTTCACCCACTTACTTTCTGTCCCCTGTGCCCAAGTTGTAAGTTATTGTCACTGGAGTGCCACTGCCTTTGATGTGAAAAGCACAGCCCCGTTTGATACAGACAGCTCACAGGCAGTAAGTATCTCACCTTTGAAGGAGAGACCCCAAGCTCGGGACTTTGCATAGGTAGCTAGACATGGCCTCCTCTTGGGTAATATCGTTCTGACCGCTTGCATCTGCAGGGAATTTCATTTCTCTCTCAAATCTAAACAGAAGCCAACATTTTTTAAAGGAGCATTCCACAAAGGGTAAAAACAAGTAATAAACGGCCAATTTAGAAGGCAGGGGGAGAATACGGATGATAAGTGTACCTCTGAAAACTGTTCATAAAAGGTACAGTTCTAGCTGAGCTGTGATAGGAACGATGCCTGTGGTTGGGCTCTGGGCTCTTCTGAAGCCCATGATGACTGCCCCATTCATAGCAATGCTGTCGCCGTGGAATTCTTTGGCGAGTGACACACAGTTCAAGAGAGGGAAAACTGTATTTTTTTTCTTTTTTCAATAGTTTTTGGGGAGCA